TTCGCGCATATCGGACCATAACTTCCTGAATTATGCCCCCTGATTGTACGAAAAATCGCGTTTTTAGCTTGTGGACCCTATAGAGGTCATAATTTTTATCTGATTTAAAAAAACGTATTATTATATCACCGTTAAACCCTAAGAAGGGCTGAGTTCGAATTTCGTGAAAATCGGCCCAAAACTGACAGACAAAATGGCCACCGTTCGTTCTCAAATAGCGTAAAAATATGGTATATCAAGGTTGTGGACCCTATAGAGGTCACAATTTTTATCCGATTTTGTTGAAACTTGAAATGTAAGTTTATAACCGAAAGATCTCAGTTCCTTTCGATATTCGCGCATATCGGACCGTAACTTCCTGAATTATGGCCCCTGATTGTACGGAAAATCGCGTTTTTAGCTTGTGGACCCTATAGAGGTCATAATTTTTATCCGATTTAAAAAATCGTATTATTATATCACCGTTACAACATAAGGACGGCTCAGTTCGAATTTCGTGAAATTGAGCCCAAAATTGACAGACAAAATGGCCGCCCTTCGTTCTCAAATAGCGTAAAAACATGGGATATCAAGGTATAACTTCCTGAATTATGCCCCCTGATTGTACGAAAAATCGCGTTTTTAGCTTGTGGACCCTATAGAGGTCATAATTTTTATCTGATTTAAAAAAACGTATTATTATATCACCGTTAAACCCTAAGAAGGGCTGAGTTCGAATTTCGTGAAAATCGGCCCAAAACTGACAGACAAAATGGCCACCGTTCGTTCTCAAATAGCGTAAAAAATATGGTATATCAAGGTTGTGGACCCTATAGAGGTCACAATTTTTATCTGATTTTGTTGAAACTTGAAATATAAGTTTATAACCCAAAGATCTTGGTTCCTTTCGATATTTGCGCATATCGGACCGTAACTTCCTGAATTATGGCCACTGATTGTACGAAAAATCGCGTTTTTAGCTTGTGGACCCTATAGAGGTCATAATTTTTATCCGATTTAAAAAATCGTATTATTATATCACCGTTACAACATAAGGACGGCTCAGTTCGAATTTCGTGAAATTGAGCCCAAAATTGACAGACAAAATGGCCGCCCTTCGTTCTCAAATAGCGTAAAAACATGGTATATCAAGGTATAACTTCCTGAATTATGCCCCCTGATTGTACGAAAAATCGCGTTTTTAGCTTGTGGACCCTATAGAGGTCATAATTTTTATCCGATTTAAAAAATCGTATTATTATATCACCGTTACAACATAAGGACGGCTCAGTTCGAATTTCGTGAAATTGAGCCCAAAATTGACAGACAAAATGGCCGCCCTTCGTTCTCAAATAGCGTAAAAACATGGTATATCAAGGTATAACTTCCTGAATTATGCCCCCTGATTGTACGAAAAATCGCGTTTTTAGCTTGTGGACCCTATAGAGGTCATAATTTTTATCTGATTTAAAAAAACGTATTATTATATCACCGTTAAACCCTAAGAAGGGCTGAGTTCGAATTTCGTGAAAATCGGCCCAAAATTGACAGACAAAATGGCCACCGTTCGTTCTCAAATAGCGTAAAAATATGGTATATCAAGGTTGTGGACCCTATAGAGGTCACAATTTTTATCTGATTTTGTTGAAACTTGAAATATAAGTTTATAACCCAAAGATCTTCGATATTCGCGCATATCGGACCGTAACTTCCTGAATTATGGCCACTGATTGTACGAAAAATCGCGTTTTTAGCTTGTGGACCCTATTGTCACAAAGTGACCTCAAGTTCTTTAACTTAATTTGCCCCCTTTTCCAAATTTCCAACAAACAACACAACTAATTAATTTATTTTAAATATGTATATTGTACAATCAATTTACATATACAATTTAAGAGGTTTTTACAAAATTAAATGCTTTAAAGTTACAGTTCATTCCGGCATTTAGTACTCTGTTGCTTTAATTCAATCAATCCTCCTGGTTAGCATTCAGATTAATTCTCCGTCTTAATTCCACCGTCCCAATCGCGTAAGTTGGTTTTTTAAAACATTTTAAACCCGAACACAAATTCTCGGAAAACACAAAACCTTCACATGTCACAGATCTATATCCCGGATTCACCTAGACTCCCTAATTGTATTAAAACTTCACCAAGATTGAAATGTACTTCACCTAGACTACATGCGTACGATTCACAAAGTTCACCAAGATTAAACTACCATATGATTCACAAGGTTACCCCTGGGTTGAAATATGATTTATATCGGTCACCTAGACATTACCGGTTAAATGTTATTTCATCAAGGAACAGATTCATCACATTTAAATACATCGTATTTCATTACCAGGTTCTAAGCATCTAAAGCCAGTCATTGGTGTTACCGTAGATATTGAAAAACAGTCATGTCTGGTCCTTTAAAATCTCTCTGATCTAAGTAGAGAAAACAGCCATGTCTATCCTGTAACTTATTTTAAACCTCTCTGACAAACTTTTCTAATTCCTACACCAAGAAATTTTTAGTCACTCAAACATCCAATCAGAACTATGCACCACCTGCACATGCATCACAATCCAGACACATTCATTACTTTACACCCTCATTACCTAACTTGCTCAGACATACCAACAATCGTTCTGTAAAAACAACGCATATACATTGAAAATAATTAAACTTTATTAACCAAAACCTGTACAACCCTTAATAGATGTCTTTAAAAGAAATAAATATTCCCTTTAGCCCCGTACCTAATTAATTAGGTACCCTAAATCACAGAAATAAACCATGTCACAATTATACATAGCAAATTAACATACCAATTGTGACATTACCCCCCACCCCAAGGGTAAACTTAAGAGAAATAGTTTATCTGACTAACTAACTAACTAACTAACTAACTGAATGATCGACTCAAATAATCTGCCCCAATATTGTCTCTACCCTTTATTGCCCTGACAATAAATGAAAAATTCTGTATACTTAATGCCCATCTCATAATTCTACTGTTAGCAATTTTGGCCTTGTGTAAATACTGTAACGGTTCATAATCAGTTTCAACCAAAAATTCAACACCATATAGGTATTCCTAATTTCAGCAATTTCCTTTTATTACATGTAGAGTTATGGTCCTTGTTTCACTTTATTGAACCTTGTGAACGCTCTAACCCCAAAAGTTATCACCTATCTTTCTGAAATTTATATGCATTATTTAAATTAGTGAAACAAAGAAGCCTATTTAATTTCAATAATTTCCGTTTATAACGTCTAGAGTTATGGCCCTTGTTTTACTTTGTTGAACCTTGTGAATGTTCTAATGCCAAAAGTTAACATCCAATCTTTCTGAAATTTATATGCATTATTTTATTTAAATAAGTGAAACGAAGAAGCTTATTGAATTTCAGCAATTTTTGTTTATTACGTCTAGAGTTATGGCCCTTGTTTCACTTTATTGAACTTTGTGAATGCTCTAACATCAAAAGTTATCTGCCGATCTGTAAGAAATTTACATGTGTCATTTAAATTAGTAAAGAGAATAATTCTATTGAATTTCAGCAATTTCTGGTTATTACTTCTAGAGTTATGGCCCTTGTTTCACTTTGTTCAACCTTGTTAATGCTCGATTGATGAAAGTTATCATCCGATATGTATGAAATTTATATGCATAATTTAAAATTGTGATACGAAAAAGCCTGTCAAATTTCAACAATTTCTGTAGATTACTTCCAGAGTTGAGACTCTTGTTTCAATTTGTAGAACCTTGTGAACTCTCAAACATCAAAAATCATAATCTGATCTGTATGGAACTGGCTTGTAAAGCCCCCCAATTACCTACATAGGAATAAATATGCGACAACCCTTGTCGACCGCTCGGACGATTTAGCTGCTGTGGGCGTATGTTTCGTTGCCTGGCAACCTATCTTTGATAACTTGAACAGCTAAATCCATGATATTAAATGTTTTGTATACTAAATGTTAGCATGGGGCCCCTGATTGTCTCAAAAATCAAGTTTTTAGCTTGTGAACCCTCTGTAAATACCATGGTTGTTTTTATCCGATTTTAATGAAACATATATTGCCGTCGCCCTAGTCTGTCCACAATTTCTTGTGAATGCTCTAAACGCCAAAAGTTATCATCCGATTATTTTAAGATTGATATATGTTGTTTACATTAGTGAGATGAATAAGGTTATTTAATTTCAATAATTTCCGTAATGTCCCTTGTTTGACTTTGTTGCACCTTGTGAACGCTCTATCATCAAAAGTTATCTGCTGATCTGTATGAAATTTATATGTGTCATTTAAATTAGTAAAAAGAAGAATCCTATTGATTTTCAGCAATTTCTGTTCATTACATCTAGCATTATTGACCTTGTTTCATTTTGATGAACCTTGTGAACACTCTAACATCAAAAGTTATTATCTGATCTTTGCAAAATTTATATGCATCTTTTAGATTAGTGAAACTAAGAAGCCTATTTAATTTCAATAATTTCCGTTAATTACTTCTAGAGTTATGGCCCTTGTTTCACATTGTTGAACCTTGTGAACGCTGTAACACCAAAAGTTATTATGAAATTTATATGCATCATTTAGATTAGTGAAACGAAGACTATTTAATTTCTGCAATTTCAATCAATTACTTCAAGATTTATGTCTCTTGTTTTACTTTGTGAATGTTCCAATGACCGATTTGAATGAAATTTATATGCATTATTTAATTTGTAAAACGATAAAGTCTGTCAAATTTCAACAATTTCTGTAAATTACTTTCAGAGTTAAGGCCCTTGTGTCAGTTTGTTGTACCCTGTGAACCCTCAAACGACAAAAATTATAATCTGTTCTGTATGAAATTGTCTTGTAAATACGCCCAATTACCTACTAAAGAATAAATATACGATAACCCTTTAGCTGCTGTGGGCATGTTTTTTTGCCTGGCAACCTATCTTTTTTGAGTTTGTTCTCTATCCATCTCTTGTAAAATATGGGCATATTTTACATGGAAACCGCTTGTTATTTTTCAGGTTTATGAATCAAATAAAGACAAATCTAAAACTGTCAATTTACATGATGAATCTGACACTGACTCTTTTAGAAATGAATCTGATACAGAGATTTCTAAAAGATCTATTAGTAGGAGAGATAAAGAGAGATTAAATAAGGAAGACAGTAAGGAAGTAAGAGCAGAACGAGATAAAAGAGGAAAACTTGAAGAGGATGAGAAACGCTGTACACGAAGTGACAAGGATGAAGATCATTGCAACTTAAAAGATGAAAAGGTACAGTCCAGAAAAGAAGATAATAAATCGGATGAAAAGAGTAAAGAAGAAAGTATTGAGGATTCAACAAAGAAGAGGGTAAGATGTCTTCCATTTTTATACGCCCACATTTTCATGTGGATGTATATTGTATATTCTTATCCGATTTTGACGAAACTTGAAATATAGGTTTATCTCCAAAAGATCTTGGCTGCTTTCGAAACTTCATGGATTATGGCCCCTGTTTGTACGAAAAATCACATTTTAGCTTGTGGACACTATAGAGGTCACAAATTTTATTCGATTTTGTTGAAACTTGAAATGTAAGTTTATAACCCAAAGATCTTGGTTCCTTTCGACATTCGTGCATATTGGACTGTAACTTCCTGAATTATGGCTCCTGATTGTACGAAAATTCGCGTTTTTAGCTTTTGGACCCTATAGAGGTCATAATTTTTATCCGATTTTAAAAAACGTATTATTATATCACTGTTACACCCTACGGATGGTTGAGTGCGAATTTCGTGAAAATTGGCCCAAAATTGACAGACAAAATGGCCGCTGTTCGATCTCAAATAGCGTAAAAATATGGTATATCAAGGTTGTGGACCCTATAGAGGTCACAATTTTTATCCGATTTTGTTGAAACTTGAAATGTAAGTTTATAACCCAAAGATCTCGGTTCCTTTTGATATTCGCGCATATTGGACTGTAACTTCCTGAATTATGCCCCCTGATTGTACGAACAATCATGTTTTTAGCTTCTGGACCCTATAGAGGTCATAATTTTTATCCGATTTAAAAAAACGTATTATTATATCACCGTTACACCCTAAGGACAGCTGAGTTCGAATTTCGTGATGATCGACCCAAAACTGACAGACAAAATGGTCACCCTTCGTTCTCAAATAGCGTAAAAATATGGTATATCAAGGTTGTGGACCCTATAGAGGTCACAAATTTTATTCGATTTTGTTGAAACTTGAAATGTAAGTTGATAACCCAAAGATCTCGGTTCCTTTCGATATTCGCACATATCGGAACGTAACTTCATGAATTATAGTCCCTGATTGCACGAAAAATCACGATTTTAGCTTGTGGACCCTATCGAGGTCATAATTTTTATCCGATTTAAAAAAACATATCATTATGTCACCGTTACACCCTAAGGAAGTCTGATTTCGAATTTCGTGAAAATCAACCCAAAACTGACAGACAAAATGGCCGCCCTTTGTTCTCAAATAGCGTAAAAATATGGTATATCAAGGTTGTGGATCCTATAGAGGTCACAATTTTTATCCGATTTTGTTGAAACTTGAAATGTAAGTTTATAACCCAAAGATCTCGGTTCCTTTCGATATTCGCATATATCGGACCGTAACTTTCTGAATAATGGCCCCTGATTGCACGAAAAATCGAGTTTTTAGCTTGTGGATCCGATTTTGTTGAAACTTAAAATGTAAGTTTATAACCCACAGATCTCGGTTCCTTTTTCTTTTTAGCTTGTTCTCTATCCATCTCTCGAAAATGTGGGCGTATCCTGCCTGGCAGCTGTTGGTTGTGATAAGTGTTACCACTGAGTCAATATAAGGGGTTATTCAAGATAGTGGTCAGTTTTGGCGGGAAAATTCAAGGATCAAGTTTGGTGTCAAAATATATGTTTTCAAGGTAGCTGAATCTATTTCTATACGCCCACATGGAAATGTGGTCGTATATTGCGGTCGCCCTCGTCCGTCCGTCGGTCCGTCCGTCCGTCCGTCATCGTCCACAATTTCTTGTCACCACTCTACAGGCTACATTTATCATCTGATTGTTTTGTAATTGATATACGTTGTTTGCATTAGTGAGATGAAGAAGCCTATTTAATTTCAATAACTTCCGTTAATTTCTTCTGGAGTTATGGCCCTTGTTTCACTTTATTGCACCTTGTGAACGCTCTAACAACAAAAATTATCAACCGATCTGTATGAAATTTATATGCATCATTAAAATTAGTAAAACGAAGAAGCCTATTGAATTTCAGCAATTTCCGTTAACTACAACTAGAGTTATGGCCCTTGTTTCACTTTGCTGAATCTTGTGAACGCTCTAATGACAACAGTTATCATTCAATCTGTTTGAAATTGATATGCATCATTTAAATTAGTGAAATGAAGAAGCCTATTGAATTTCAGCAATTTCCGTTAATTACGCTGTATGAAATTTATATACATCATTTAAATTAGTAAAACAAAGAAGCCTATTGAATTTCAGCAATTTCCGTTAATTACATCTAGAGTTATGGCCCTTGTTTCAATTTGTTGAATCTTGTGAACGCTCTAATGACAACAGTTATCAACCGATCTGTTTGAAATTGATATCTGGCATTTGAATTAGTGCATCGAAGAAGCCTACTGAATTTCAGCAATTTCGGACGATTTAGCTGCTGTGGGCGTATGTTTTGTTGCCTGGCAACCTATATTTGTACATATTTTAGTGATTGCCTGTGTCAATATAGGATAAATTCCAATTTGGGATTTAGATTTCCGATTAGGGATTGGAGATCAATGATACTCCTACCTTAGACCTAATACAATGACTTTCATCCAGTATCAACTAAATTTCATTTGGAGTGTCTCCCAATTCACTGCGGTAACGGCATAGGTGTATGTCTACTGGGGTCACTCTCGGGTCACTGCGGAAGCTGGTCGTGTCTTTTGAAGCACGTGGCACAAAATGATTCAGATGTTGAGACACAGATGGATACAGTATCGCCTGTTTGTCAGATATGCAGTGAACCATTTAACAATGAACAACCAATAGTTGGTCAATGTTTTAAGGTTAATGAAGTGGAGGAGTCTGTATCAAGGTCTAGAGGGTCCGTGGTGCCAAAATTTATTTTAGCGGACCGTTGTCTTTTACATGGTCTGTAGGAAAGACTAGCAGACGGTGCATTACAACATATATAATCTGTGACCGCTGTTACAACAGTAAACATTAGAACTCGCAATTTCATTTTTTTGGACAAGCCAAGACAGTTCAAATGACGACTTGACATTAATCTAGTTGTATTTAATAAATCAGCATTGCACATCTAACTTATTTATAAAACAGAAATTGTTCTTCACTCTGTGTAACCTAAGCAAAAAATCTAATTGCAGAGGCATGCTGGTCAGGTAGTCAACCGCCTACCCTGCCCTCATAAATGCAAAAACAAAAGAAACTCGAAATGGTTGATAATGCTCGAATCCGATGAGATTTCCTAACAAGGTATATGGGAGGGAGCGGGGGGGGGGGGGGCTATGTGCCCTCTCTTCCGAAAATGTGCCATCGAATATTGTGCCCTCTTTTTCTGCTGCCCTTCCCTTGTTCCAACTAACTCCAGTGATACTACAATGTCTGTTTTTTATTGATGATATAAGGGCCCCATACACGCTAAATCAGACCATGATTTCCACGGATGACTTCCAGAATAGATTTTACAGATGGATTAATATTTCCATAATATTCAGAATCAACTAATTTGTCTTAGTTTTATTTATATATCTAAATGAATTTAGGAAAATTGCAACACGGGCGACGGGAATCATTATTGCCGGTTAGCATACGCAAACCGTCACAACGAATGACATTTAATCTGTCACCAGTAACTTCCTTGGCCTGGCTTAAAGTGTATTTTGATCGTCGTCTCGTTCCTGGGGTTGTCAGTCTACTTTCAATTCTACCTCCCTACCTCTACCCTCATTAGGGAACAGAATCGAATGAAACTTGGCAGGTACCGTCCCTTTGTAAGGAATACCAGTCCCTTTTGATGTTTGTTTTTCTGTACTCAGAGGTCGTTTAGTGCTTGATTGCAGCTAACTATGTTCATGTTCGGATCTTTGTGACTTAATCATAATCCCTTAACCAAGTGTCAATGTATGGTATGTTACGGCATATACGTCAAATCGCTTCTACCATGTGCCACAGAACTCAAATTTTCCCCGATCCTACCCCCCCCTCCTAAAGTGCCCTAACTTTGGTCTGCCTACCCTCGGAGGCCCTAGCACGCCCTTGGCTTATTGTTGAACTTAGTCATGACTTTACACCAAGTTTTATTCTGTCCTAAATTCTCTGCTATTGAAATTGGTATCTCCGCTCATTATTGAACGTAAGCCAGGAATCTTAATCGGCTCATTATTGTCGGCCTCCAATACCCGTTATCTTTCCGTCATTTTGGGAATGACGATAGGCAGTTCACTGCATATCTGACAAACGGGCGATATTGTATCCATCGGTGTATCAACCGTGGAATCATTTTCTGAAATAAATTCGTCACATGCTTCAATAGGTTTGGCCATCTTGGCTCAATTTTCGAGGTTGGTGGTCGAAATCGGACACGCCCACGACACTGCGTCCACAGTGGGCTGAGAGTGACCCCTTTTGTCATGCCTGCTACGCTGCTTCCCTATTGAGCAGTGGTCGACCAGAGCGTCTAAATGAAATTTAGTTGATGCTTGATGAATGCCATCGTATTAGATCTGAGGCGGACTCAACCACTCGTAATCCCCAAATCTCCAATGGGATTTCCCATTATTTTGACCCAGGATTTACCAATATGAAAAAAATGTGTCGAAAATGAGATCAGTAGCCTCCAAAACATATATTTTGACACCAAATGTGGTAATTTTGTAAAATTCGAATTTTCTCGCCAAAACTGGCAGCCATCTGGAATTATTTCCCAATATTGACTCCGCGGTATAACTAATCACCAAAATGTGTATGGGAATGGATCCAGCTACCTCGAAAGGATATATTTTGATACCAAACTCAATCATATTATGCTAAGTGGATAAGAACTTGCATTTTCCAGTCAAAACCAGCGGCCATTTTGGATTTTTGCCAAAATTTGTTTCTGGACACTCTAGAAGTCACAATTCTTATCCACTTTTGATGAAACTTGAAATATAGGTTTATCTCTAAAAGATTTTGGTTTCTTTCGATATTGGCATTTATCGGATCAAAACTTTATGGATTATAGCCCCTGATTGTTTGAAAAATCGCGTTTATAGCTTGTGGACCCTATAGAGGTAATAATTTTTATACACCCACATTGAAATGTGGTCGTATATTGTTGTCGCCCCCGTCCGTACTGTGTCCACAATTGCTTGTGGACGCTCTATAGGCTAAAGTTAATATCCGATTGACTTTAAATTTATACACAGTGTTTAAGGTCATGAGACGAAGAAGCCTATTGATTTTCAATGATTTTCGACAATTACTGCCAGAATTATGGCCCTTGATCACTTCAAAAAATCTTGTGGACGCTCTAGAGGTCAAAGTTTATATCTGATTGACTTTAAATTTATACACAGTGTTTAAGGTCATGAGATGAAGAATCCTATTGATTTTCAACTATTTTCGATAATTACTGCCAGAGTTATGGCCCTTGACTTTAAATTTATACACAGTGTTTAAGGTCATGAGATGAAGAATCCTATTGATTTTCAACTATTTTCGATAATTACTGCCAGAGTTATGGCCCTTGATCACTTCAAAAAATCTTGTGGACGCTCTAGAGGTCAAAGTTAATATCCGATTGACTTTAAATGTATACACAGTGTTTGAGGCCATGAGATGTAGAATCATATTGATTTTCAACGATTTCGGATAATTACTGTCAAAGTTATAGCCCTTGATCCCTTTGAAAAATCTTGTGATGCTCTGGAGGCTAAAGTTATCATCCGATTGATACACAGAGTTTAAGGGCTTGAGACGAACAAGTATATTGATTTTCAATGAATCTTTATGACTTGAACAGCTAAATCCATGATGTTAAAAGTTGCGTATACTGAACGTTAGCATGGGGCAGAACTTTATAAAAACCAAACAAATTCAAATGGTTTTCTGATAATTACTTAATGAGTTGTTATTCTTAATCAGATTTTAATGTATTATAAATGTTTAATTACCGAAAAAAGTAAAAATATGCGACAACTCTTGTTGACTGCCAGAACGATATAGCTGCTGTAGGCGTTTGTTTCTTTGTCTGGCAACCTATCTTTATCTGATTTTGTTGAAACTTGAAATGTAAGTTTATAACCCAAAGATCTCGGTTCCTTTCGATATTCGTGCATATCGGACCGTAACTTTCTGAATTATGGCCCCTGATTGTACGAAAAATCATGTTTTTAGCCTGTTGTAGAGGTCACAATTTTGATCTGATTTTTAAAAAAACAAAACATGTGAATATATCACCTTTACACACTAAGATTTTGGTTCCTTTTGATAATCGCGTATATCCTACGTAACTTCCTGGATTATGGCTCCTGATTGTTCGAAAAATAGCATTTTTAGCTTGCGGAGTCTATAGAGGTAACAATTTTTTTTTCCGATTTTAAAAACCATTTAAATATTTCACCATTCCACCATAATGAAGGCTGAATTCGAATTTCGGGAAAATCAAAATGAAACTGCCCGACAAAATGGCCACTCTTTGTACGCAAATTGTGTAAAAGTATGCAATATGAAGGTTGTGGACCCTCTAGAGGTCTCAATTTTTATCCGATTTTGATGAAACTTAAAACATATCTTTATATCCCAAAGATCTCAGTCCCTTTTGATATTTGCGCATTTCAGACCAAAAATCCTGTTTGTTTTTAGCTTGTTCTCTATCCATCTCTTGGAAATGTGGGCGTATCCTGCCTGCCTGGCAGCCGCTGGTTAGATGAAACTTGAAATGTATGTTTATATCTCAAAGATCTTGATTCCTTTCAATATTCACGCATATTGGTCTGCAACTTCCTGGATTATGGCGAATGATTGTACAAGAAATTGCGTTTTTAGCTTTTGGTCCCCCTACAGGTCACAATTTTGATTCGATTAAAAGAACATTCAAATATATCAACATTACACCATAATGACGATTGAGATCGAATTTCGTGAAAATGGTACCGAAACAGTCGGACAAAATGGCCTCTCTGTGTACACAAATAGTGTAAAAGTATGGTATATCAAGGTTGTGGACCCTATACTGGTCACAATTTTGATCCGATTTTGTTGAAACTTAAAACATATGTTTATGTCCCAAAGATCTTGGTTCCTTTCGATATTCGCGCATGTTGGTATGTAAGTTTCTGGATGTAAAATTGCTTGAAATTTTATGTTTTTATCAAACCAAGAAACTAGCAATCTGATTAAAACACAGACCCTATTTCGTTCTGTTTTTTATAGTTCCAAATTTTATTTTACTTGTCTTTACTACACTACTCACTAGGATCTTGAAGAGTTGTTATATAACCCGCGTTGTGGTTGATGTGAGGGATTAGTCAATGAAACGATCTGTTGCGGCAAGTTGTTGGCGTGTGATGCACAGAACTGTGGGTATCCTACTCGAAACATCAACGTTGGTTGGTTAATCAAATGTTTGATGTCATAGGCTCAAAAGCGGCTCGTATGATGCCTGATGTGACCTCCCACTACAACTGGTCAGATCTTCATATAGTAGAGGCCATCAAAAGTGTAAAAAAAACGAAACGAAATATAGATCTGTATTTTAATCAATTGGGAAACAAGCAGAAACACTGGATGACTCCTATCGATTTTTCATTTTCTCTATCTCTGTGAAAATGTGTACATGATGTGACCTCCCACTACAACTGGTCAGATCTTCAGATAGTAGAGGCCATCAAAAGTGTAAAAAAAAATGAAACGAAATATAGATCTGTATTTTAATCAGATTGAGAAACAAGCAGAAACACTGGATGACTTCTATCGATTTTTCATGTTCTCTATCTCTGTGAAAATGTGTACATGGCAACTGCCTGTTTCACAACTTAGTAGCTGCCTTATTAATGTTTCAATGGTTATATCCTAATTGGCAAACCTGTCATTTTAAATAGATTACTAGACGCAAATCTGGCCGTGGAGAAGAATGTAGGAAAGATGATGAACAGAGTGAAATAGAAGAAAAAGAAGCTAAGAAAAAATTCAAAACTGACAAAGAGAAAGATGAAAAGAAAGATAATGACAAAAAACAAACAAGAAAAGATGCAAAAGAAAAACGATTGGCTATTCAAGATTCATATTTTGAACAAGAAGTTAAAGATGATTATTACTCTGTTAAAGACGAAATATTGCTTGGAGCTAAACGAGAAGAATCTGGAGAGTGAGTTTTAATTTTGAAAAATAATTATTTTCTTTTATTCAGTTTCGAATGTGTTGCTGTTTCCATTCAGAAACAATACAAAACTGCGGAAATGCACTGCTGTTTTTATTAGAGGTAACTAGTGTATCTTAATAGCAGGCCAATTGCCTACACATGAACATAAACAGTTCATATGGGCGGCTTATCTGACGGCCCCATTTCACCCGCAAAGAGATGCACTTTCAAAAGTGAAAATGGACGTTTTGTTTGTTTTTTTTGTCTTAATAATAAGTAATTGCGCTACCAATCCTCAGACATTCAGCAATTCGTCGTGGCATGCGCCTAATCAACCGTCCAATCAAGGTTTGGGGCAATCTGACCCACTCCTCTTGCAGTGCCACGGCCAATTCTTGCCGTGTTGTCGCACTGAGAAGTAGTAATAGTGAGATTTGTACGTTTATGGTATATATTTCTCAATTTTTAGTAAATTTGTATGAATATTGGTAAAATTCTAATTATCGCAACAAATCTAATACGAAGAGGCTAAAATCTGTAGGTACGGTGTGTTAATTAACAGGGATGAGAAATTGACTGAAAGGTGATATAATTATCACTAGGGGTGAAAATCTCCGCGACGGTGCGTTTTCTGTACCGGTGTGTTAATTAACGAATGGGTTAAAAACGACTGACACGGTGTGTATTCTTTGTTTGGTGAGTTTTCTCGAAAGCGTGTTATAACTGCAGCAAAGGTGATTTATCAAGGACCAGCAGGGTTTATCTGATGCCAAAAGTTATCATCCAATTGTTTTAAAATTGATATATGTTGTTAACATTAGTGAGATGAAGAAGTCTATTTAATTTAAATAATTTCCGTTTATTACGTCTAGAGTTATGGGCCTTGTTTCACTTTGTTGAACCTTGTGAACACTCTAATGCCAAAAGTTAACATCTTAACTTTGTAAAATTTATATGCAATATTTAAATTAGGGAAATGAAGAAGCCTATTGAATTTCAGCAATTTTCGTTTTTTACTTCTAGAGTACAAATTGGCGTGCACGTTAAAGATCCCTTGGCAGTTGGAATTCGATATAAGAGTAGGCCGTAGTGCCGCTGACGGGCAAAATTTCCCTCATAGCACACTGTATGGCGTATGCCCGTCTTCATTAGCCCAGTTCGGAGCAAAACAGTAGGACGTTAAACCCCATTTCATTTCATTTCATTTCTTTCTGAAATTCATATGCATTATTTAAATTACTGAAACGAAGAATCCTATTGAATTTCAGCTCTAACGTCAAAAGTTATCATCTGATCTTTCTGAAATTTATATGCATTATTTAGATTACTGAAACGAAGAAACCTATTGAATTTCAGCAATTTCCGTTTATTACGTCTAGAGTTATGGCCCTTGTTTCACTTTATTGATCCTTGTGAACGCTCTAACGCCAAAAGTTATCACCCGATATTTGTGAAATTTATATGCTTGATTTAAATTAGTTAAACGAAAAAACCTATAGAATTTCAGCAATTTACAATAATTACTACTAGAGTTATTTCCCTTGTTTCACTTTGTTAAACCTTGTTAATGCTCGATTGATGAAAGTTATCATCCGATAGGTATGAAATTTATATGCATTTCAGCAATTTCTGTCAATAATTTCTAGAGTTATGGCGATTGTGAACGTTTGAATGGCTAAAGTGATCTTGTGATCTGTATGAAATTTATATGCATTATTTAAATTAGTAAAACGAAAAAGCCTGTCAAATTTCTACAATTTCTGTAGATTACCTATAGAGTTGAGACCCTTGTTTCAATTTGTAGAACCTTGTGAACTCTCAAACGACAAAATTTATAATCTGATCTGTATGGAACTGTCTTGTAAAGGCTCCCAATTAACTACAAAGGAATAAATATGCGACAACCCTTGCTGACCGCTCGAACGATTTAGCTTTTGTGGGCGTATGTTTTGTTGCCTGGCAACCTATTTTTCGGACTATTCAATCCAATAAGAGCTATTATCATTTTAATCTACATGTTTATCTCGTGGTTTCTCCATTGTCGAACATTTTAATCCCATTGATGTGAGCCGACAATATGTATAAACTAATCATAGATGTTACGTCACATATTGTAAGAGTATATAGCACCCCAAATCAATATATTATCCGTTAATTTGTAAATCAATATATCCGTAAATTTGTCTGCGATATCACTTTGGTGGAAGCGGCCGTGACATAAAGCTATTTCACACACACACACACATGGTTATAATACAATAATCGAAAACTAAAGTAGAAATCTCGTGAGATGCGTGAAATTACAAGAGATGTAAACATGACAATTATCACGTTAACTTATAAATCAATATATCCGTTAATTTGTCTGCGATATCACTTCGGTGGAAGCGGACGTTAAAGGAGCTAAATCGCTAATATGTGGGACCTAGATATTGACACAAATGGGTCGCAACTGATTTACATTCAATCATTTCTGTTTTTACTGTAATTTCTAATCAATTTTGTTCGGCGAAATACGCCAGAAGTCTCAATCGAATGACAATCTATAGCGTCTGGTTATTCCAGTCTACACCGATAGTATTTATTGCGCATGCTCTCCAGATTAGAACATGACGTCACCGTTTGACATGACGTGTGGAATATGCCTAGCCTCGTTTTTCGAGTCATTTATTACAAATGGCACTGAAACGCATTATGGTACACGATTCGTGTACCATTTGTAAAATGTTTATTTTGTCTTAAATATTGGATATCAGAAGCCCATCTTTTCCCGATAAGATCACAATATCAATGTTGATTTAAATTGACAAATAATTCGTATTTTCAATGTCGAAGATTTTGGATGATATTGAGTTAGAGACTTAGCTACTTTAAATAAAGCTATTTTACACAAATACCCACACATGGTTATGTATAGGATATTAACCTACCCGAGGTTGATATGGTAGAGAACGCGCGGGCGAAGCCCAAGCGTTCTCTACCATATCAATCCGAGGGAGAGTAGGTTTATATCCGACATATACAACGCCATTTCACCCTTAAATTTAATGAGCTCTTCCATTAAAAGGCAACAACGATTCGATAATTGCTTGATAGTTTCCGCCAAATAGCGAAAATTACCGAAGTAATCACGTGCAATTACGTGCATGTTTTTGTTTATACGTCGCCATTTTGGACTATTGAATTGAAAACAAAATGGATAGTAATACGAAGTCAGACGAATAATCAATCCTTTTTAGCCAACATATTGACGATGGAATAGATGTGAATGCAAATATTGACGAGGATCTATCCAAAGCCTGCAGAAAATTTGGACCAAAAAGCATTCTTTTCCAAGAATTCTGACAGCGAACCATGATTGAAGGTTTTCGGTATGTTCAGAGAAGGATTTGACCGACTGTTTTAAGTGGACTGTAACCAAAAATACTTTACAAAGGAACTCTTGGGCGATAAATACTTTCAAGTCTTGTAGTGTGTGGAGAAATAATCGCAATGTGGACGAAAAGAAAATTCTGAAAGATGTCTTAGACATGGATAACCGATCTAAATACATGTATGTCGATAAGTACGGCGTCTATTTCGGTCCTGAATGTTAGAAACTGTACCATAACAAATTTTAATTGTCAAAAGAATAAAAATTTATTTCTATGTTTTTTTGTATTATTTCGATCATCTACGTCATCAGTGGTTGATATGAGCCGAATATATTGACCTGAGATGACGTCATTAGCGGTTGATATGAAACCTGTCATGACGTCATCAGCTGTTGATATGAACGAATATATCAACCTATGATGATGTCATGACAGGTTGTTATGAGATATAACTGCTATGGACATCAAAGTAAAAACTACCGCCGGTTGTATATAATACAATGATCAAAAACTAAAGTAGAAATCTCACTAGACGCGTGAAACTACAAGAGATGTTATCGTGACAATTATCACGTAGGAAGAAAGATTCTATTTTGATGGCATATTCTCAGGTTTATGATAATATTTTGAATGGGGTTTATGTTTAAAAAAAAGAAAGAAACAAGCTGAGAAATGTCGACAAATATTTCGATTGGAATAGTGTACTGTAAGTAGTTAGTCTTAAAACTCTGGATAATAGAGGACCCTCGAAGAGTCTTTGGAAGATCATTCCACATTTTAGCTTCTCTGATTGAGAAAGCATATTGACCAGAACGTTTATTATATTTAGGAATCCTCAATATGCTACGATCACTTGAAGAACGAAGGTTGGATCGCCGAGGAGTATAGAAATCAAAGAGTTCTTTTAAATAACTGGGTGCAGTGTCAGAATAAATTGATTTAAACACATTCACAAGAGCTATTTGTAGGCTGTTTAAAGCTGTTTCCAGTGCTCCTAATAGAAGAGAATTTGCATAGTCCATATGCGCTGTTACTAATGCTCTAACAATACTCTGGCAAGCATCAGTATTAAGATTAGAGCGTATTCTCGAAATAGCTCTCATTTGATGATGCATTTTCCGTATGATCCATATGATCAGTTAATCTCATCAATTAATTAGCACCTTAGTGCCAGCTAGTGGTCAGGAGATTAAGATTGTATAGAAATCAAAGAGTTCTTTTAAATAACTGGGTGCAGTGTCAGAATAAATTGATTTAAACACATTCACAAGAGCTATTTGTAGGCTGTTTAAAGCTGTTTCCGGTGCTCCTAATAGAAGAGAATTTGCATAGTCCATATGCGTTGTTACTAATGCTCTAACAATACTCTGGCAAGCATCAGTATTAAGATTAGAGCGTATTCTCGAAATAGCTCTCATTTGATGATGCATTTTCCGTATGATCCATATGATCAGTTAATCTCATCAATTAATTAGCACCTTAGTGCCAGCTAGTGGTCAGGAGATTAAGATTGTTGATTGGACAATCATCAAAGAAGCCGCCACAGCTGTACGCGTGTTCATTTAACATGTGAATTAAAATAAGATTTTGCGTGTACGATAGGTCTGTTATTATTTTCAGATACCGTGACGT